GGGGGAGGCGGAGGGGTCAGTAAATCCACATTCTAGGAAAATAGAGGCACATTAAAAGTATGTTTGGACATATACTTGTATGTGTGTGACGAGCTCAGTTGGTAAAGTCAGTGGATGCAGTTTCCACAGATCTGGAACCAGTGATCATCAATGTGCAATGGTTTTCAACTGGATTGTTGTTCTAAAGTCTTCTAAGAATTCCGCTCACTGTTCATTCAGGATGGTTCATGAGAATCTCTTGCATTTGTGGATAACACTGTTAGATCTGTCTTTTGTTTCACCTTTTATCACTTTTTTCTTTTAATAAAATTTGTTTCCTATAAAGGAGGGGGGAAGAAAAAGCACTAAAAGGGAAACATCATTGATGAATGGGGATACCTATGAAAGATGCAAATTTCAGCAATAAATTGCAGCCTCTCGTTGAAGACTGATAAATCGGAAAAATCTCCTGAAAGTTGTATCTTCCTAGCCTCCTCTGTTATATCAGTCAGCTCTCTTTTTATAGCATTGTGCCAGTGCAAGATTTCATTTATTGGATGTACCCCAGTGGAATCAGTAATATCACATTTCAATTCCAAATATTTCCTTTTCCCAGTTTTGGAAGATTCACATGCACACTGCCCCTTCTCAGTTCGATCAAATGATGTCCCAGAACCAAAATCTACACAACACTGGAGCTGATCATTTTCCTGACAACTAGTCACAGTGGATATACTTTTACCTTCTATCCATGTAAATATAACCTTCATTGAAACAAGTGATTCAGTCAATCCATATAATAATTAAGAAAAGAAATGTGAATAAAACATGCTCAGAATTAACACTTACCTGTTGAAGAAGCTTCTCTGCTGGGACTATCTTGCACAAGCATTTAAGCATATCTTGACGTTCATCAGATGAAATCAAAGAAGAAAGCCATGGAAGGAACTCTACCATCATATTCACAGGAATGCTGCATAAAAATTGCCAAACCAATGATGCCTGCTCTTCAAATGAAAACTTCTCTATAAGCAAGGGGAAGACCTGCCAAAATCAAAGATAAGGGGCATGATTTGAATATATTATTTGACAAAATATCAAACAAATAAAAGGGGCATGGCTCCAAATGAAAATGATTGTTGCCTAGAGAGTAGTCTAGGAAGAAGCTGTTGAGGGACAAGAAACAATAAGGATCTTTGCCCCCATATGAAACAATCATACTAATGAGTAATGACTATGAAATGCTAGAAGATCTCCATCCAGCAGAAGAATTTACCATGGATTGTTGGCTGAAAGTCCAGAATCCCTTTTCCATGTACACAAGAAAAAAAAATCAAGGACTACTACCAAGTTAGTTTTACTTATAGTTCTCCGTTTCTTTTTTTTTTTCCTGGTAGTGTCTCAAGTTGATGTGGGAAAAAAAAGAATAAAATTGATAAATCTTAAAAACTTGGGGTACTTTATAAGGTTGCCAAGTAATTGGTGAATAACTATGGAAAGATATAGAATAAAGTATAATGATGACACTCCTAAAACAAGCTAGCTATTGGAAGAATGTAGTGATAACAGTCAGATGGCCTGATGTATTTTTGGTTGCAGAAATCATAATTGATCGAGGTTTACTAGTAAAAAACAGCCACTGCTGATGCAGGAACAATAATAAAAGTAAAATGCAGGATATGATACCTTACAACTGAAGTATTGTAAATTCCAGGTATTAAAGCAAGAATACTTTTGAAAGAGAAAAGAGAAACATTATGAACAAAACGAGATGCTACAGAACTTGAAATAGTTACTTTTTTCGAGATTAGTCTGACATGGGTATCTACATATGAGAAACTCTAGTTTCAATTTTGTGTAGAACTTCAACTGATCCTAGCCATTTTTAAGGGGAACTACTTGGCTAGAAGGTATACAGTTTACTGAGTAGATTGTTAGAATACAGTGAGATCCAACCCTCCCCCTCCCCCAAAAAAAAATGAATAAATAATTGGTTAGAGACTTGGAATAGAATACAGAACTCATTTTACATAAACGAAATAAATCGATACCTGCTCTTCCTCCTTAGACATGTGCTGACTAACTGATGTTTGAAGGGCTCCTGTACAAGAAGCTAATTCTCTTCGAAAGCTTTCATCATTTTGCTTGCTTGAATTCAACAGCTCAAACAATTGGTCAAACAGATCACTCTCCCCCTTATGCTCGAGGGAGTATGTCCTCGCTACATTCTTCACTCGTATATCAAGAGCTGGAAAGATGACCTACAGTTTAATATCATGGTAATTACAAACTCTGGTTAATGAGCCTGAAGAATATGTTCAAAGGAATGCTGGCAATAATAGATATGTGAAAGAAGTTCCCATGCTTTATTGTATTAATTGAATAGGTATCAGAAAATCCTTTCAAGGGTTGACGGTGATCAAGTTAAGACTTCACCATTTTTTTTCTGAGTAAGCTTAGGCTGGTTTGGCTGAAGAACAGATTTTCAGGTTAAACACCCCAAATTAGCCAATCATAAAGCTATCTTGCATTGCACATGTGTGATATATAGTATCCGGTGTATGTTCTTTTTTCTTTCTTCCCAACTTGTGGAATTTTATGTTTCAGACATCAGATGGGGTGCATGCAGAATACACATGCTCACCTTAATAAAGGAAATCTTCAGACTTAAGTTTAAATACTTTATTACAGATGTTACATATTATTAACATTACATAGCTTCTCATTTTAACTTTCTCGACCTAGACACATTCAAATAATCTGCATAGTTTCATTACTATTTCCACAAGAGCATTCAAGCTTGGGAAAAGGTAAGGTTGAGTTTACTTCTTCTTTGGGACCCCTTTTGCCTCTATTAATATAATCATTTTCTTGACCTATCCTAAAAAGACCTAAACAGTCATCCTCAAACTGGGAGTGGTTGTAAAATTAGAATGCATAAATTTGTTTCATCACGTTTTCAACACCATATTGTTAAATGTTTTTTTGACCCACGCTGCACCAGACCCAACTTCATGGCACCCTAACTTCATATTCAGTTTTATTAATGAAATCATTCCTTTGTTGCTGATCAAAAAGAAAAAAACTTCATATTCAGATAAAAATGCATCAGATAGACCATCCAGCCCAACAAAAACCAGGTCCTTCTTTTTTTTTTTCTTTTGAAAATTTGATTTGCAAACAAGATTGGAGACATCTAAATCTTCCAAAAGGGATGCAATAGGGAATGTGGGCCAGGTGTATGAAAATCTATTTGTAAAGCTTGAGAGGATTTTAGTAGAAGTGTATGAAATGGTTTGGATAGAATGTAGTGCTCATTACATAGGAAGCGACCCCCAAGGAAAGTGATGGCAATGACTCACTCATGGCTTTCAGTTAACAACTCTTCAGGGACATTCACCACGTGTCTTACTTTCCTATGAGACTTTTTGTGCAGATATATATATATATAGTTTTAATAATGTTTAGTGATATAGGAGATATTCACACCCGCCTCCCATCTGTTATATATTTGTATGGTGTTCTTACAACATTAATGATACAAGCTATTATATACCCATATATTATAACTTGCATAATCTATAATCAAGAAATATTAACCATTTATTGAACAGTAACATATAATTATTCTAACAACATTTAAAATATATTTCCCATATGTAAATCACTTTCCCAGGGTTGCTAAGTCCAATATTTGGTGCTTCAATCACTTCCCAAAATTCGTAGACTATCCTGCAACATTGCATTAAGGGATGTGAGTCCCCCTTTATTCCCTTTGATGATGCCTTCCCTTTTGTCTAACCTTATATCAATTCCTAGAACACTGGGTCGCTTTCAAAAACGAGGAACTTTAATACTTTTTTTTTTTTGATAAATGAACGAGGAACTTTAATACTTCAAAACTAACTAAGTTTCTTTAGGGATTTTTTTTTTTGTTCAAGACATGACACCCAGAACGCAAAAGATTAAAAAGTTATGGATCTATTTCTTAGCATATAGAAGGTTTATGTTTTAGTAGTTCCATTAGGAGAATTAGGATTTGCAAGGAGTGCTATTGTTTTCATTTTTATATGGTTATTTCAGCATTCTCTGTGCAAGCAGAAGCACCAGGTATCAAGCATCTAGTGGATGGATATTGCCCATTTGGTAATCCCATATCCCATCAATATTCTTGCCCCTAAACCATAATTAAAATCATATAGAACCCAAGGGATACAGCATAAGTCAAACTTCCACACAAAGATTGAAATGTTTAGAACAACATGTGAGAGAAATCGAACCAATTAAGGAGTAGAAATTAATCAGAGATGAACTTGTTTAAAAATCAAATGATGGCAGCATAGCAATGTTAATCACAGAAAAATCGTTTGCCACACAATAAATTAAACAAAAGAGCATACAAACAGAATGGATACATGTTAGTTAACACGAAGAATGAAAAGAAAGGACAGAAGCGAGCGGTAGGAGATTTCAAATTCAATTGTCAAATTCTCAGTATCAATCATTTCCAAGACAAGCAAAGATACGAAATTGAACAACATACTTCATCCTCCGCATTGCAGTGGTGCTTGTAGATTGCCCGAAGAAAATGATACCGCTCGAACAACCTTTGGATATCGCCGTTCCGGTCAGTCGCAAAAGCCAAGGCAGCTCGATGCAGCCCATCCAACTCGGACCTGATAGCCTTGTGGAAGAAGAGGAAGATAAGAAACGGAGATTTTAGAGCGGAATTCTTCAAGCAAGCCTTGGGTGAAGAAGGATCCACCGGATTCACGGGACCAGACATTAAAGATAGACCTCCATCTCTATGTTGAAGGCCCGTCAATGGTGTCGCCATTCACCAACAGAACCAATCTTTCCTTTCTAAAGGAAAATCAAAACAAACTTTCTGAATCAGATATTCGGAACCCTAGATTCAGCAAGATTGTTGTAGTCTCTCTCTCTCTCTCTCTCGTGTTGTTATTTTCTTCCCTCGGCAGGGCGACGGAGGGGAGCAAAAGGACACGAGAAAATTCACTGCGGTTGATAAGGGGAAGAGCGTTTAATAGGATGGGCCACGTGGACAGAAGAGGCCAGCGTGTACTATCTGGGACAAATCAGCAACGGCAGAATCACGTGAGTGAATGCATGAGAGCGAGCCACGCGTGTGAATTACACGTGAGCAGATGTGACCAAAAGTGATCTCTTATCTTCCACCACTACGGGAGGCACGGAGGGGGTATTGTCATGGCTTTTTTTGTCGGTTTGTCCTCGTAAGCTTCCACGCACACCTTCTCTCACACGAGAGACTCCGAAGACGGATAAGATCAAATCCAGAACCACTGAAATCACTCCGGATCCGCTACAAACAGGCGTGAACAACGGGCTATGTAACCAATCAGGAGTGAACACGCCGTTGCCGTAATACTTTATTAGCAAATAGGTATTGACCCGTTCAAAGAGGATGAAGGATTCGCTGGGCCAAGTGATTGATCCAAACCCGAACCCGGATGGTTCATCCAGGTTTTCTTGTAAAACCGAATAAGATGGAAGGGTAATTTGGCAATTAGAATACTTATTTGGCTTCACAATTCGTAGAAGAGGGTAATGTGTAGGACAATGGAGGTGAGTGAGGTTGAAGGTGAAAAGGCATGGAAGGACAATGGAGATTAGTGCTTTGAACGTGCCATGGATAGGTTGACACGTGACAAACCCATGCCGTCACAAGTTTATGCAGTTCCGCTTTGGGGCCATAAATTGTGACCTTGACAATTGACATGCTAAGTTAGTGGACGAAAATACCCTCCATAATTTTGTCTCTTTCCTGTGCTTTGAACATCTCGGGGCTTTCCAGACTGGAACTTGGAAATTATCCAAACGAGATTCTTGAATTGACGCTAAGGGCGCCAAACAGCTGGGTCCGGATCGTAGCGAGGAATTGGATATGTGATAAATGTATACTAGTTGAGTTAGGTAATAAGTTGACTCAAGAATCAAAGGTTTGTACAAATTTTCAAAAGAAGAAAATGAGAAAGGAGTTCAAATTAGGCCCCCAGAAGACTGCGCCCCACAAAAAATTTCCATGTATATTAAAATAAAGTTTGTGGATGGAAGTATTTTTATCGAGACACGTGGCTAATTCTTTTACTAAAAGATTATTTTTATTTAAAATTAAAATTGAAATGATGCTTGAGTCGGACTTGAATTGGCTTGATTAAGAGTTTTGTAGAACTCCCCCTACTTTAATTTTAATTTTTGCTAAACAAAGTCTGTGACTCTGTGTATCGTACGATCCTGATTACCTGAATGAAAAGTAGGATTTCATGATTTGAAGATTTTCAACTAAATTGGGCTCAGCTTACGATCCAGGCCCGTTGAAAAATTAACGAACGTCCAATCCAACCCGAACCAAAATGGCAGCCTTAAGTGGGAGCGCTCTCTCATTTAAACACGTGGCTAGTCCTGTGCTATAAAACATGTATTTTTAATCCAAAACTCAAATCAGAGGTTGTCATGTCGTTTTGGACTTAAATATATCTTGAATTTTTATAAATTTACTTAAATATATCCTTAATTTAAAAAAAAAAAACTTAAAAGATATCTAATGATTCTTTTGCCTTTTCTTTCAAATTTTTAAAATTTATCCCAAATTTTTCGAATTCATGATTAAAAAAAGTATAAAAAAGAATTACAAATCAAATAATTTGTGTTTGTACCATTTATAAAAATGATGATGGTGATGATGTTTTATACTTTTTTACCCTTTATGTTTTTTATTTTTCTACTTTTATTTATTTAATTAATGGTTAACACTTGTAATTGGATAAAGCAAATAATAATAAAATTGCTATGGGACCTACTCCTTTCTCCCCTTATGCCTTATTTTATCTTTCCCTGAAACACCTACCTAACGAACCTCTTCACTGGTTAGAGCCAATACCTGTCAAGTATCAAATGGTTTGCCCAAACCACGAATTTGAATTGAAGGGAGGAATGAATTTTTTTGACCCCCTCTATTTTGATCATCAAAAAATCAATTAGATGATTAAATGAAACATTTTTTAGTTTTCTCCCTGTTTTTTCAAGTATTTTTCCCATTTCCCTTTCGATTGTCTCCGTTAATGTAATAAGTTGTATTTGATTGGGAAATGCTTTTAGGTTCATTATATCGATTCATTTTATGGTGTTTTTTCTTGATGATCATCAGGCTAGTCTGATAATTTGACATCCTACAAATGTAATACTGTAGGGGTTCGGTACTTGGTAGGGCTGTAGGGGTTTCAAATGTGTTTTGTTGGCAAGAGATCCAGACTCTTCTATATAAATCGATGTTCGATTTGATTCTAAATATAAATGAATCAAGATTTAGGATCAACCTATATCCAAATGCTAGCCCTTAGATGTGCAAATAACAGCCCCACCATTGACAAGCAAAACGGTAGGAGGCAAAAGGCTAAATGTATTGTTCACACATGAAGCGAAGACATAAATTCTAAAACCCCAGTTTTCTCCTTTAAACCCTTCTTTGTAAAGTGTATATCTTATCCATTCCCCCTACTTCATAGTAGGAAGGAGGAAGCAGAAATGGCGTCTCTCTTATCCTATGCACCTTTCTCCTCAAAATGAATATATATATATAAATTACAAAAAAAAACAAAGAAATGCATAAAAAATTTACAAAAAAGTATAGAAAATCATAAAGATTTCTATATACCATACTTAAAAATGAGAATGTTGCAATTGGTTTAGTCAAAACACCCTGATTTTACTTTCCAACTTTACCCTCAACTTTATATTTTTTTCCCATTGTATATATTGTCATTGCAAAATAATTATGAAAAACATAAAATGAAGAGATCGGTGGCATCTCCTATTCTCCATAAATTTTGTGTTTCATTAGGATGAACTATATCTGTATATAATGTTGTTGAATGTTATTTTATCATTGATTTGGTGTATTAATGTTTCAATATGATGCATTTGCAACCAAAGTTATATGCATATTATAAAAATCAGATCTTGACATTTTGTAAGAATAGTCTCTTTTTATGTATCATATAATTGTCATTTTATGTGAACTTTCATCTATGCCTAAGATATAAAAAAATAGTCAAACATTACCTTCAATATCAAATACCCCATGCATCGCACGAGCCTCTCCACTAGCAAGAATAATAAAGGAGAATACTAAAAACAAATATTGATAGCTCTCCTTGTGGATTACCTAGAAAGTTGTATTGCCTAAAAAGTTTGACCAATTAGATGTTTGATGCAACCGTCAAGATGTAGAATGTTGATGAGTAATGCTCTCTATCTAGAGGTGTAAATCGGGTTGTGCTGCCCGCAGCCCGACACGGTTTTGAGTTAGCCTGGCACGACGGATTGTGGGCCATGTCAGGCATGACACGATCGTATGGGCCGTGTTGAGCCTGGAATTTTAGGTCCATGGGTCAGTATGGCACGACATGACCAAGCAGGCTGTGCTGCCTGTGGCTTGTGTGCCAGCACAACCCATATATATTTATATATTATATATAATACATAGTATGCATATTATATATATATATATATAATTTTATTTTCATATAAAATAAATTTTTAAGACCTTCTTTAACTTTATATATATATATTTTTAATTATGTTAAAAGTTTCATTACTTTTTCAAAAATTTAAAAAAACATGGCTTGCTCTGTTCTACGGGCTGGCTTGGCCCAAAGCTCGGCTTGCGGCACGACACATGACCACGCGGGCTCGAGCCATGGGTCGTGCTGGGCTGACCCCCAAAATATCCTAGGGGAGGGAAGAATGGCCCAACTCAGCCCGTGGGCTGGCATGACACAGGTTGCATGTGGGTCGTGCCATGCAAGCCCAGCAAAGCCCGATTTACACCCCTTATGTGTCAACCTCTATGTATTGGCTTTTGGCTAGGGGTGGATTCGAGTTGAGCCGAGCTAAATACTTGGTAACTTGGCTATTCGAACTCGGCTTGTAGGAATAGTATTAGGCTCAAGTTCAAGCTCGGCTCGGCTTGAGCTTGACTATAAGCCAAGTTTTTTTTTGAAAAATAAAAATTATATGTATAATTTTTTTTAAAACATAAATTTAAGAATTATAAAAATTATTTACTATTATAGATAAAAATAAAAATATTATTATATATAATAAAATTTTTTATTATATATATTTATGTATATATAATAAAAATTATTTACTTAATACTAGGCTTATGAGCCAAGTTTCACTGGGCTCGAGCTTGGCTCGACTAGCAAACGAGCCTATATATCAGGCTCAGGTTCAGCTCGAAGCTTAGTTTAAACCAAGCTGAGCTGAGCTCGAATAGCTTGTGGCCACCCCTACTTTTGGCTATACTAAAAGGAGATTTCCCTAGTGTTTTCAACCCATTGTTGACCCAACCAGTTGAATCGTTCGAACTATCACCCGACCATGATCCTGGGTCTGCTTCAGTCAAAACCCGTCAGGCAATCAAAAATTGTTGACTTGGTCAAGAACCATCTGACCCGCCCAGTTCAAACGCTGACTCATTCAACCTAGTCACTAGGTTGCACATTCAATGCATGCAAACTTTCAGAGGCCATAACTTTGCATTCCGATGTCTGATTGGGGTGATCTTTTTTTTTTTCTTGATTTTGGGTAACTTTTTGAGATCTATGCATCCCATGGAGCCGTAGGCACCTTGCCCCGCTATTTTTGCGAAAAAAAACCTCTTTTTGGCCTCAAATTGCAATTTTTAATATTTTTATAAATAAAAAGTTAAAAATTAAATTAAAAGCATAAATTAAATATAAAAGTATATATATCCTATCTAAAACATAATTATACATTATTTATTGATAAATAATTATATATTTATACACACACAAAGATATACACACACACCCACCCCTTAAATACATGTGGGGCGGTTTGATCCATTCAACCTAGACAGTTGAACTAACCTAGGGGCAAAAACGGTTCGAGCTCTGGGTCTATTTTAAAAACATTGGATTTACCCCATGCCTTTGTTTTATTG